AGTAGTAGTAGTCGTCGTCGTAGTAGTAGCAGTAGCAGTAGTAGTAGCAGTAGTAGTAGCAGTAGCAGTAGCAGTAGAGTAGCAGTAATAGCAGCAGCAGCAGCAGGAGGAGGAGGAGAGGAGGAGGAGTAGTAGTTGTAGTTGTAGTTGTAGTTGTAGTTGTAGTTGTTGTAGTAGTAGTAGTAGTAGTAGTAGTAGGAGTAGGAGTAGGAGTAGGAGTAGGAGTAGGAGTAGGAGTAGGAGTAGTAGTAGTAGCAGTAGTCGTAGTGGCAGTGGCAGTGGTAGTGGTAGTGGGTTACTAGTAGCAGTAGTACCGCGGAAGTTTCAAAAATAGGAAACCTATAGGAGAGGTTGGTTGTTGTGAATCAGGGATGGCAGAGCGAAGCCACTGATGGAGCGAAAGGTGATTGATCTCTCTCACTATTTCTCTCTCTTTCCCTGACTATCTACCGACCTACCTGCCTACCTACCTATCTGCCTATCTATCTATCTATCTATCTACCTACCTACCTATCTATCTATCTATCTCTCTCTATCTCTCTCTCTCTCTCTATCTACCTATCTATCTACCTATCTATCTATCTACCTATCTATCTATCTGTCTATCTACCTATCTGTCTGTCTAGCCATCTATCTATCTATCTATCTATCTCTCTATCTCTCTCTCTCTCTATCTATCTATCTATCTATCTTTCTATCTATCTTTCTATCTATCTATCTATATCATTATCTCATCTATCCAGCTGGCCTCTCTCTCTCTCTCTTTCACCTAACTACCTATGTATGTATCTATCTATCTATCTACCTATCTATCTGTCTATCTATCTACCTATCTATCTATCTATCTGTCTATCTATCTATCTGTCTGTCTATCTATCTATCTATCTATCTATCTCTCTCTATCTCTCTCTCTCTCTATCTATCCACCGTGTACTGATACAATCCTCATATTCCTAAATTGAAACTTCAACAGGTCCTACAGTGTTAACACAGACTACAAACACATGAAGAAATCTAGCACATCCCTCCGACGTGTCTCCCTCACGGTGTCGCCGCAGTGTGTTTTTTTCCAAGCAGCAACGGGCAAGAATCTTCGGCTGCCGCTGTGCTAGCAGGCATCATCGTGCCGTCAGAAAAGACACACAAAACCGGGCTTGGCTTGCGAATGCTGATGCGCCATCGTGCCGGCAGACACGACTGTACAAAAAAATGGCCATACACTACGGTATGCCAATAAAAGACTACAAGATAATGAAGATGTTGTTAGACTAGCAGTACAACAAGATGGTGAAGCACTACGGTATGCCAATAAAAGACCAAAAAGCAATGAAGATGTTGTTAAACTGGCAGTACAAAAAAATTGGAAAGCACTACAGTATGCAGGTGACATACCAAAAAATAATGACCAAATTGCTTCGGCAGCATGCAACGAATTCCGAATGCTGATGTGCCATCGTGCCGTCAGAAAAGACAGACACGAAGGCGAGCAACGAAGTACAAATGCCCGAGTGCACCATCGTGCAGTCAGAAAAGACATACACGCTGGCATGTGTCCTGGCCGCTGCGGTCAGAAGCGCTGCGTGCAGTCAGCAGTGGCGCGGTGCGCATCGCTGCATGTGTCCCGTTCTACCCGATGGCAACGACGCGGGCAGAAAAGCCACACGCGAAATCACTGCCATCTCTGCCACGCTTGTAGATCTAGTTGCCTATCTATCTATCTGTCTATCTGCAAGCTTGAAAATGAAGCTATTCGACGAGACTTCAATTTTTTTACTTGATGAGACACGAAACAAGTCTGCGAGACTTAAGTTGACAACATCAAGCACGAACGACTTCTGCGAGAGTTCCTCCAAAAATGGAAAGATCAGTGCTGCGCTCACACCCTCGTGCCAATTCGTTTTGCGATTTTTCTGCTCCACCTATCTAAAGTACTGCGCCTGCCACGAAAACTGGCTGCCAGGTCATACCAAATGCTGCACCTATCATGCAAAATCATCTTAGCAAACCTACACTTCTGATACTCCAAAATGTAACCCTATCAGGAAATCAGCGCCCTGACCTCCCAACCTCTCTCATGAACATGTCTTTTGTACTGCGCCTAACACAGAAAATGCGTCTTTGCAGATCATCTTCAAATGTCCCATGCCTGCCATCTTTTGTCGAAATGCTGCAAAACCCTCATGTTTTGCTCACTTTTGACAAGATCCACAATCTCGTACGCCTGCCACCTCCAAAAGTGGTCCGAACCCCTAGTGTTTTTAACATTTTGACTTCAAAATGTGCTTCGCGCCACAACGGCGTGCACTTTTTCGAGATCTGAACTTCCAAAAGTGGTCCGAACCCCTAGTGCTTTTAACATTTTGACTTGGAAATGTGCTTCGCGCCACAACCGCGTGCACTTTTTCGACATCTCAACTTCCAAAAGTGGTCCGAGAATGGTGTGTTTTGTACATTTTGACTTGGAAATGTGCTTCGCGCCACAACCGCGTGCACTTTTTCG